CCCACCCCAACGTCTGGTCTTCAGCTGAAGGTGGTGTTTAAGGTGATGACTTCCCCCATTTCACGGAGTTTTTGTTTTCCCGTGTCTCCCATGGTATACAGGAGGTATACATGTTATTAAACTTGTGTTTGTTTTTCTCTTGTTCATCTTTGTGCCACAGGGGCGTCTCAGCCAAGAACCTAGAAGGATGGAGGGAAAAGTTATCTCCCCCGCCCACCAATAATGACAAGAACTGAATGCAGTACAAGTCATGAAATAGGTTTAATCCCCGAATTCATAATGATAGCTGTTCACTTTCAGGGTTTTTATCCACCAGGAATTGAATAGCTTAGGTCACGTTCTAATTTCATTTTCCTCTGGAATAACCATTCGTTTAGCCCTACTTATTGACCAGTTAATCCTTTTCTCCCTAATGTGTAATACCAACATCACATCGAATTCATATATACATGAGTACGTCTTTTTTTCTGGGCTCATCTTGTTCCTGTATTTGTCCACCCATGGGCTAATACCATACCCTTTCAATTACTACAGCTTCATCATATAACTTGGGTGTCTGGAGGACAAGTCCCTTCAGTCCTATTTTTTCGCAAAATTGTCTCAGATTCTGTGTTTTTCCTACATGAATGTGAAAAGTGTTAGAATGGCAACCTCAGCAAAAATATATATCCTATTTTTAAAAATTACCACCAACTCCACACTGGAAATATGAAGAAGTGGGTAACTGAGTAAATTTAACAGTAAACCACCAGGTTCCACAAGATTAAGGTTAAAAAGCAGTATTTATTATACCTGAATGTTATTACATACTTTTTGGGAAGAGTATTTAAGGCTTTTGAGTGCTGCAAATGTGAAATGTTCCCTAGACGGAAGTATATTCATTATCTTACTTTTTTTGGTCAGGACAAGAACTGAAAAAGAGAAATAATCTTGACTTGAGAACGCACAGTGTTGCTACATGTATTTTCCCACCTATATTTGGAAGGTTCTGCAACTTTCCGAGAAACAGGGACTGAGCTGCACTCCGACACAGTAGGGAGGCATGTGCGCGTATTTGGAAGTGTTTAGTCACCGGGAGCCCTGCGTCCTGTTCGGTGACCCGGCAGAAGGGACACGGGCAGGAAACGGAGACCGCTCAAGTCCTGGAATTCCCCGGCCGCCTGACCACGTGGCTCGCAAGCTGGGAGTCTGGAAAGGTCGCCCTCGGGGTCCCCGCGATTAGACAGACCGCGTATGAAACGCAGTCACTCGCGGCTCATCACCGTGCGGGGACGCCCTGGGCGTCCTATCCGCCCGCCGTGCACGCAGGCCCCGGTCCCCGGTCCACAGCGGACCGGCCGCCAAGCCCGGCCCCGTACTGCGCTCACGGCAGGGTTGAGCGCTGTCGGGACGAGGACGCTGTCCTGACATACGTGCTCCCAGACCGCAACACCAACAGTTTAAGAACAAAAGGACACACTGAGCGATTATGAATAGACGGGATTCCCGAGAGAGTACAAAGTCCCGACTGCAAGATTAGTGGCCTGACACTAGTCCGCGTACCGCTGGGACTGCCCCGTCCGCCCAGCCCGGCCGAGCAAAAGTCCCCGCAGCCCGCGACCATCCTAAGGCGCGGGCTCCCACAGCGCAAGCGCAAGCGCAGGCGCAGACGCAGGCGCCGACGCAGCTCCGGAGGAATTCCGCGGGGCGTGCCCCGCCCCTCGGGAGGAAGTGAGTCCGGGGCGCCAGCTGGCGTGAGGCCCCGCCCTCTCACGCGAACCCCGGCGTCGCGCTGATGTCAGCGTGCGTCAGCGCGTGCCCCGCCTGGGCGGGGGCTCGGGACGCCGGAGCGGTGCCGGCCGGCCGCATCTCCGGTGGACGCCGCCGCTCGGGCCCTCTGGAGGCCGGCGCGCCGTGTCCGCGGTGAGGGCGGCCCCGGTCTGGGTGCGGGGCGGGTTCGGGGCGGTCGGGGCGCGCAG